TCTCTCTCTCTATCCCTCTCTCTCTATCCCTCCTTTTCCTCTTTCCCTATTTCTTCCAACGTTCCACCATGCGAGGATCACGTGGAGAGGCCGCGACCCGTGATTGGCAGAGAGCGGGAATGGGCGGAGCCACCGGTACAGGAAGGGGAGAGAGATAGAAATATTGAGAGACAGCAATAGACAGAGAAATACAGTGAGGGGGGAAATGTAGTGAGACAGAGAAGTATAGTGAGTGAGAAATATAGTAAGAGAAATGTAGTGGGAGAGACATAGTGAGATATATATATATAGAGAAACAAATGGAGAAAAACACAGTGAGAGAAATATAATGAGAGAAAGATAGTGAGAGAGTTATAGTATGTGTGTGAGAGTGAAATAGTGAGAATCATAGTGGGGAAGAGAGACTTATAGTGGGAGAGACAAATAGCAAGAGAGAGAGACATATGTACATAGAGAATTGTAGTGAGAGAGGAAAGAAATATAGTGAGAGAAAAATATACGTATAGAGAGAGAAATGTAGTGTGGGAGAGAGAAATAGAGAGTAGAGAGAAATATGGTGAGAGAGATATTGACAAAGAGAAAAATTGTGAGACGGGAAAGAGTAAGTGAGAATTGAAAAACAGACAAATAGAAATGGGTGATAGAAATAGAAACGAAGAAGTAGAGGAGGAAAAGAGAAAAATAGAGCAAGAGGAAAAATAGAGTGAGAGAAGAGAAAAACAGCAAAGAATAGAGCAAGTGTAAAAGTAGACCAAGAGAAATAATTAGGGAGAAAGGAGAAGTAGTTACAGAAAATTAGATAGAGAAAAATATGAAAGAGACAGAAAGGAGAGAGAGAGAAATACAGTGGACAGCACGGTGGTTAGCACTGCTGTTTCATAGCACCAGAAACCCAGGTTCAGTTCCAGCCTTGGGTGTCTGTCTGTCTGGAATTTGCACTCCTCCCCGTGTCTGAGTGGATTTTCTCCGGGTGCTCCGGTTTCCTTCCACAGTCCAAACATGTGCAGGTTAGGGTGGATTGGGCCATGTTAAATTGCCCCATAGTGTCTAGGGATGTGCAGGCTAGGTGGGTTAGCCATAGGAAATGCAAGGTTACAGGGATGGGGTGGTCTGGGTGGGATGCTTTTCGGAGGGTCACTGTAGGACTTGATGGGGTTAGTGTCCTACTTCCACACTGTAGAAATTCTATGACTGTAGAAGTTAATCATGAGAATGAGAGCGAGATTGAGTGAGAGAAATAAGGAAAGCAAGAAACAAAATGGGAAGAAACAGCTGAAAACAGGAGAAAGAGACCAATGTGAAAGAGAGAAAAAAAAGGAGAAAAAGTGAAAAAATATATAGAGTGACATACTGGAGTGTGAGAAATGGTGAAATACAAGTGGAGAAAGAGGGCAAGAAATGGAGAGAGGAAAAATAGGGGATTATCAGAGAGAGTGACAAAATATCAAAGAAAAGAGAAATAGGCAGGGAGAAAGAGGGATTTTAAAAACAGAAATATAAAGAAGAATAGAAAGAAAAAATAGCAAGAAAGAGAAGGAGAGAGAAGGTTGAAGTAGAGAGAGGAGAAAGAAATACAAATAGAGAGAGGGAAAGAAAAATAGATAGAAAGAGGTGAAACTGAAAAACCGCAGGGAAGGAAAAGACAGAATCAGAGATCATGAGAAAGGAGAAATAGAGATAGGCAAAATAGCGAGTGACATGAGACAGAGGAGAAATAGGAAAGAGAGAGAGAATAAGGATAATGAGAGAAGAGAAATTGAGTTAAATTGAAAGAGAGAGAAGAGACGGGAGAAATATAGACAGACATGGAGAGAGGGAAGAAGAGAAAAATAAAGAGGGAGGAGAAATTGAGAGGAGAAACAGAAAGGGAGAAATACACAGCGAGGAGAAATAGAGCAAGAGAGCAGAAATGGAAAAGTGCAAAAAATTAGAGGGAGAGAAAGAGAGGGGAAGGGGAGAGGAAAAACAGAAAGAAAGAAAAAAAAGAGAAGTAGTGTGGTGAAATAAAGAGAGTACATAACATGAACATCTGGTTCGCTGTCTGTGTGTGTGTGTGTAACATTACCCTGTAGTTGGATAGACTGCCTGTACTATTAGAACATAGAGCTTAGAATAGTGCAGTACTTGAAGAGGCCCTTCAGCCCATCATGTCTGTATCAGTGATGGTGCCATTTTAAAGTGAACCCATGTGGCCGCGTATGGTCCATATCCCTCCAATCCCTGCGTGTTCATGTGTTTGTTTAAATGCCTCGTCAATGTGGCTAATGTATCTGCTTCTACCACCTTCCCATTGCTGCCGGTTCCAAACACCTGCCACCCTCTGCATATAAAATTTACCTTGCACATCTCTTTTAAACATTCCCCCCTCATCTTAAACCTATACCTGTTGGTATTTGACATTTCCATCCTGGGATAAAGGCTCTGACTACCCATCCCATCCATGCCTCTCAATTTTATATACTTCAATGGTTACCCTATTGTACTGCAGCATACGATTTACCTCTGTGCTCTTGTGGTATATCAGATGGTTTTATTCTTCTCTCTTAAACTATACCTTGTACAATGCACAACGCTATTTTGACCTTACACGATGTCGAGCCATTCGTTTGAATGCTTTCAGTTGCTGATACATTTCCACTTCTTGAACTGTACAGATAAGAGGTGGATTGAATTTTAACAAGGGTCTAGTATTGTTCCATGCATTTTCAAGAACTAAAGTGGTTTTCAACACTTTCAATATAAACATGAAAACGTTCTGTGGCAAATGTCACATCAGAAATGGATAAAGGTTTAACCTGCAGGTTGAGAGCAGATGAGGTTCACTTGATGAATCGAGCAACATTAGCAATAGTGGTTGTGTCTAATTATTGGTGTGTACAGAACAGGCAATTCAATCAGTCGAGCCTGTCTCACCATGCAATATGAACATGGTTGATCAGTATTTTTTATCACCCTATCGCCATAACCACGTGTACCATTTGTATCGATCTTTGTCTTAAACATACTCAAAGACTGAGCTTCCGATCTGAGTAGTTTAACTTCTTGCAATAAAGTTTAAGATTCCATGAGCGTTCCTAATAGCTTGCTGCTCCTGTATGTTAGCATGTCCCTTTGTATAAGTACACTTTCCAACCTTTCACCATTTAAGAAATACTCTACACATCTGTTTCTCCTACCAAAGTGCATAACCTCACATTTTTCCACATTATATTCCATCTGCCATGTTCTTGCCCAATCACTTAAGCCTATCCAGATTGTCCTGAAGCTGCTTTACATCTTCCTCACAACACATTACCACTTAGCTTTGTATCATCCATACATTTGGAAATATTATATTTGCTTCCCACTTCCAAACCATTGAAAAAGATTGTGAACAACTAGGGCCCAAGCACTAATCGTAACAATACCCTGTTATTCAGAGCCTGCCAATGTGAGAATGACCTATATCCTCCCACTCTGTTAGCCAATCATATATCCATGCCAATATATTATATCCTATCCAATGAACTTTAATTTTTCTAACCAGCCTCTGTCGGGGTTTTTTTTTAATCAAAAGGCTTCTGAAAATCTAAATATGCTATGTCCATCAGCTCGCGTTTAACAATTTTGTTAGTAATATTTTAAAATAAACTCCCAAGTTCTTCAGATACAATTTCCTATTTGCAAGTACATGTTGACTACACTCACTCATATCATTATCGACCAGGACTGTTGATTCAAGACTGTGACATCCTAATTGTGACAACCACAAACCAGATTCACAATATCCCTCCCAGTGACCCAACCGCACACTACCCAAACCTGCAACCTAGCTGCAATCCATTCATCCTTTGCCCCACACCAATACACCTAACCTCCTACCAATCCAGGGAAAAAAATGTTCCAAACCTTGAGGGTGCTGGAAAGTTGTTCTCACCAGCAGCAGGGTTGAGAGGCAGAGTACTCCAATTTAACTAAAGGGACCACAAATCACCAAGCTCTTATTTCCAGGACTGTCTCATTTTCTCTGGAGATTTCCCCTGCACAGCTTCCCACCTCATCGTACCCCAAACAATCCATTTCTACCTCCTTCCGAAAAAGCTACAGACAGGACTGCCCTGATAGACCCATCATTTCAGCCTGTTCCTGCCCCATTGAATTTATTCCTGGCACCATCACTTTGTTCAGTCTGTTTCCACTTATACCTGTGATTCTTCAGATCCTTTACATTGGTTCTACAGTCTTTGGACCCCAGCTAGCCCCTGTCCATCATCGATGTTCATTTATGTATCCATCCCCCATCAACAGAGTCTGAGTACTCTCTGCCTCTTCCTCTAGATGAGGTCTGAACAGTCCCCATCCACCACAACCCTCTGTTACCTGGCTGAGTTCATTCTGACTTTGAACCACATCTTCTTTAACCGTCTCAATTTTGCCAAGGGCACCTGCATGGGTCCCAGTTATGCCTGTCTCTTTGTGGGGTACATAGGACATTTCTTGTTTCAATCCTACTTGGTCCCCACCTACAACTCTTTCTCTGGTACACTTATGATGACAAATTCTTGCAAAAGGGATTATTGTGTAAGATTAAAGCGCATGATATTGCAGGAAGTGTATTGAGATGGACAGGAAACTGGTTGGCAGAGAGGAAACAAAGAGTAGAAATTAATGGGTCCTTTTCAAATTGGCAGGCAGTAACTAGTGGGGTGCCACAGGGATCGGTGCTGGGACCCCAACTATTCACAATATATATGAATGATTTGGATGAGGGAACAAAATGTAACATCTCAAAATTTGCAGATGGTACCAAGTTGTGCGGAGGGGTGAACTGTGACGAGAATGCAGAGATCCTTCAGCATGATCTGGACAGGTTGGGTGAGTGGGCAAATGGCAGATTCAGTATAATTTGGATAAACGTGAGATTATTCACTTTGGAAGCAAAAGTTAGGCAGCAGATTACTACCTGAATGGCTGTAAATTTGGAGAGGGGAGTGTGCAGCAGGATCTAGGTGTCCTTGTGCACCAGTTGCTGAAGGTGAGCATACAGGTGCAGCAGGCGGTAAAGAAGGTAAATGGTATGTTGGCCTTCATTGCGAGAGGTTTCGAGCACAGGAGCAGGGGTGTGTTGTTGTAGTTATACAGGACCTTCGTGAGACTACACCTAGAATATTGTGTGCAGTTTCGGTCTCCTTTTCTGAGGAAGGATGCTGTTGCTCTCGAGGGAGTGCAGTGAAGGTTTACCAGGCTGATTCTGGGGATGGCAGGTCTGACATATGAGGAGAGATTGACTGACTAGGTTAGGATTGTTTTTGCTGGAGTTCATAAGAACGAGGGGGGGATATCTCATACAGACTTATAAAATTCTAAAAGGACTGGACAGGGTAGATGCGGAGAGAACATTCCCGATGGTGGGTGTGTCCAGAACCAGGGGTCACAGTCTGAGGATTCGGGGTAGACCATTTAGGACAGAGATGAGGAGACATTTCATCACCCAAAGAGTGGTGAGCCTGTGGAATTCATTATCACAGGAAATAGTTGATGCCAAAATATTGAATATATTCAAGAGGCGGCTAGATATAGAATTGGGGCGAATGGGATCAAAGGTTATGGGGAGAAAGCAGGATGTGACTGCTCAGTTGGACGATCAGCCATAGTTGTGATGAATGGCAGCGCAGGCTCGAAGGGCCGAATGGCCTCCTCCTGCTCCTATCTTCTATGTTTCTAAGATCAACAGGGACTGCTGGTCCACATAGGCCATGCCAGCTTCAGTTGGCGGTATACCTTGGCATGTTCTTGAATTGTATTTACATTGACAAGGAACCTGTAACCCATCCTGGGGAGAATGAAATCCATTTGCTCGTTTCCACTTGTTTAACCAATTTCATGGAATGAGGGTGTCTCTTGCTGGACCAGGCAGCATTTATTGCCCGTCCCTAATTGCCCCAGAGGGCAGTTAAAAGTCAACCACATTGCTGTGGGTCTGGAGTCACATGTAGGCCAGACCAGGTAAGGATGGCAGTTTCCTTCCCTAAAGGACATGAGTGAACCAGATGGGTTTTTCCTGACAATTGATTATGGATTCACGGTCATCATTAGATTCTTAATTCCACATATTTTTTATTGCATTCAAATTCGAACCTGGGTCCCCAGGACATTAGCGGAGTTTATGGTTTAATAGTCTGGTGATAATACCACCCCGGCCACCCCGGATCCTGAGACCCCCACACGCTCTCGCACTCCCCCAGCTCAGGATAGTATGCAGAGACTTCAACTGTGCAAAAGTAGGCCATTCAGCCCATCAGATCCACTCCTGCTGACTAAGATCTGACTGTACTCATCCCCTTTTCCCAGTTAGAACATGGTTGAGCTGTACTCCACCCTGGCCTCACAGATCACTGAGGGTGGCAGGTAGGTAGGGAGAGCAGTGAATAAAGCACACAGTGCCCTCAGCTTTATTAACAGGGGCACAGAGTACAGGAGCAAGGAGGTGATGCTGAACTTGTACAAGACCCGTGTTAGACCCCCAGCTGGAGTATAGTGTCCAGTTGTGGGCCCCACATTATAGGAAAGATGTGAACCCATCGGAGAGAGAGCGCAGAAGCGATTTACAACAACGGTTCCAGGGATGGTTAATGTCAGCGATGAGGATAGATTGGGGAAGTTGGGACTGTTCCCTTCGGAGAGAAGGAGGCTGAGAGGGAGATCTGATAGAGGCTTTCCAAATCCCGAGCAGGGGGCTGGACAGAGGAGGGAGGGAGAAGCTGTTCCCGCTCGGAAAAGGAACAGGAACGAGAGGGATATAGATTTAAAGTGATGTACAAATGAAGCGAGGGTGAAGTGAGGAGAGACTCTCTCACCCAGTGGGTAGTGAGGGTGTGGGATGTACTGCCTGGAAACGTGGGGGAGTAGGGGGGCAGGTTCGACGGAGGTATTCCAGAGGGGAATTGGATGGATATTTGGATGGAAATGGGGACAGGGTGAAAGGGCAGGAAATTGGGCACTGGGGAATGATGTTTATTTGAAGAGCTAGTGTGGGAACGATGGGCCCAATGGAATCCTATGGGGGCTATTTCTGCCTACTCCCTTGCTCTCCTACCAAAGTCTAAACCTCCACCTCAACAAACCTTTTGATCATCTTAACTCCACCCAGTCCTATCCCTCCACGGTACACAGAGCTTGTCTCAGTAAGGCACTTTGTCCTCACAATGTAACCCCACCGCAAACTCTCCAGGAAAGAGAGAGAGACACTCCCTGGGAAAGAGAGAGGGAGTCTCTCTGGGAGAGAGAGAGAGAGATGTGTACATTCCCGGTGAGAGAGAGAGAGAGACGCGCTCTCTGGGTCTCTAGTGACTGCCAACACACTTTCTGAGTCCTCCTGACACACTGTCAGGTGATAGCTTTTTGACTGGCAGGGACTCAGTGGGCTGAAGGCCCATCTTCTGCAATGTGCACCAACATCAGTCAATCTGTCTTCCCTCGGGAGCACTGTCGGCACTGTCTCTCAGGATCACTGTAGCCCTGTGTCCCTTGGCAGCAGTGAGCGATGGTGGTCTCTCTGAGAACATTGGCACTCTGGTTGACTGTAGCCCTCTGTTCCTTGGCAGCACTGAGCGATGGCGGTCTCTCTGAGAACATTGGCACTCTGGTTGACTGCTGGTTCGTGGAAGAACGTGGTGGAAAGAGCAGCTTCCCCAGTTCCATCACCCAGGAACCAGCCGCCCTGCTCCTTCGCCACATCCCGTACGAGGACAGAGAGTTTCCAGAACTTCCCGCCGACCTGCCCCTGCCCTCTGAGCTGAAGCCCGGCAGGTTCTTCGAAGTGAGAGGTAAGAGGCGGTGGGTGGGGTGGGGGCAAGTGGACGAGTTATAACCCCTCATTGCCTTCCCTCTCTCCCGACAGATTACTCACGGATCATGGCCCACCCCGGGTTCAGGGAGCCGAGAAACCCGAGGGAGAAGCCGCACTGCGAGATTAATACGTATGGCCCACAGGATTCTAGCGTCTCCTGGGCCACCCGCCTGACTGAAGATGAAAAGACTCCAGCCTATCAGTCCAGCAGCTGGTTCTGTAGCCACCTCCAGACTTTCGACCTGTCTTTCAGCGTGGCCAGTGTCCATCGGGTCACCTCGGGCCTCAGGGAGACGGACGATCTCTCTCCGCTTCATACCTCAGGTATCGGCCACGTAGGGCCCTGAGCCTAACATTCCCAGTGTACTCTGCCTCTGTCTGCTATCGATCACCCACCCGGCCCGAACTTATTCCCCGTCCCCTCTCCCCCTCAACACCATCCCCTGCCAACCCTGACGTCGCTGAGGGCCTTGAAGTCTCGCGTAGGTCAGTGTGAGTAACAGGCAATCATTAGCTACAAGCAACAGTCATCCTGACGCTCCCTAATTCCAGCTGCTTGTTGCAGTCTTCCAGGCTTCAGATTGTCCACATCTCTGGATTAACAGCTTAGTGATACAACCGCAAGGCTATGGCCTCCCCAAACTGGTCTGACACTGTAAACAGAAGGATTAGCAACTTTTACAAAGGCCCGTTCTGAGGAAGGGTCACGGGACCCGAAACGTTAACTCTGTTTTCTCCTCCACAGATGCTGCCAGACCTGCTGAGCTTTTCCAGCAACGCTGGGGCCCCATGCTTGAGCCTGCGTTGAGGGATTGGTCCTCAACCGATCTTTCCACATCCAACAGCCGTAGCCTGTGTGACTCCCTGCCCCCATTTACCGAGGCACGGATCTCCTAAGGGGAGTTTGGCGAGAGGATCGGAAACCAGAGAGCACAGATTTTAGATAACTAGCAAGGAAAGTCAAAACAGTAAGAGCTTCTGCAAGCATAAGAAAGTGAGAGAGTAGCTAAATTGAATGAGAGGGTGAGACTGGGGCATTAACAATGGAAAGTACAGAAATGGGAGGCTTTGGATCAGTATCTTGTATCTGTCTTTAAGGCAGGAGGCAGAAAATAAATCCCAATAAAAACAGGAAGAATCAAGAGGGAAGCAGGAACATAAAACAACCATGATCTCAAGAGACAGGATGTTCGGATTTTGTTGGGAATTCAAGGCTGCAGTCAATGGTCCGCATCTGGGAGTTGGAAAAGTGGATACAGTGATAGCGAATGGATTGGCTGCAATCTTTCAGGGTTCTGCAAAGGTGCTAGCAGATTGGAAAACTGCAAATGTAACACCATTCCTTAAGAAAGGAGACAGGAAGCAGGAGACTATAAACCAGGAAAACACTGGGGCATCACTGGAGTCTGATATTAAGGACATTTGTAATACAGTCAGGGGAGTCAAAAAAATTCATACAATCCCTACAGTGTGGAAGCAGGCCATTCAGCCCATCAAGACCACACTGATTCTCCAAACAGCATCCCACTCAGACCCACCCAATCCCCATAACCCCACATTTCCCACGGTTAACCCACCCAGCCTGCACATCCCTGGGCACTATGGGACAATTTCCCACGGCCAATCCACCCTAACCTGCACATCCCTGGGCACTACAGGGCAATTTAGCACAGCCAACCCACCCTAACCTGCACATCCCTGGGCACTATGGGACAATTTAGCACGGCCAATCCACCCTAACCTGCACATCCCTGGGCACTA